AGAAGACTTAAGATGGGTCATTGGTGGGTCTTGAGGCATGATCCAAAACATAATGCCGAGGTAACAAGGAGTGGCTAAAGAAGAGAAATCAAGAGGCCTCATCAGTTCCCAGACATCAGTCCTATTTAAGCCAGCTGAAGCTTCAAGCTGCCAATTAGCAACCAGAATTTAGAGTTTAGGCAAATAGCAGTGGGCCAAAATCTCTCCTGTGCAAATGTGTGTAAACCTGGTGACAACAACAAGAAATGTCTTAGTGTTGCACTTGCCAACAAGGATTTCTCCACAAAGTACTAAATTATATTTTGCTTGGGGATCAAATACCTTTTCACTCTGTGACCATCTAATTAGCTGCAGAAACTTCCTCCAGTGGTTTCTTTTTAGTACCATTTACCATTTCAAACTGAACGCCTTCCAAACCTCTTTTTTTTTAGATGTTTCCGTCTATTGGCGTGAAGAACTAAAATGCAATTTGGCCTTGAAGTTACTTTTTTTTGTTAGGGAGGATTTGTTTGTTGTTGACTGCAATGTTAAAATAAGTTCTTTAAAAAGAAAAATGATTTAATATGAAGGCAATATGAGCAGAGAGTACAAACATGCTGAGGGATTGGCTGTGTTAGCTCAGTGAGAGAGTTATTTATATAAAATCTGCTGACTGCAGTGCAAAATACATTTGTTTAAGGAACAGTGGGTAACAAGAACATATTTTAGATATCCAAGTATTCCCATTTTGGACATACTGCAATATTCCTTGAATCTTGAATTTCTATAAAGAAAGAAAGAAAGCACTTTTCAAACAAACAAACAAAACACAACAATAACAAGAATTACTACAATCATTTCAAAGCAGACAGTTGTTCCTAATTTTGCTGTCTAAACTTTTCTGGAGAAGCACAAAGAAACAAAGACAAAGGACATGCTCTGCCAAACTGAACGCAGCAGACGAAAGACTTCAAGCTGGTGTCAGTTCATGACGGGAAGATGTTAAAGTCCAGCAGCAACATCACTTTAAAACTAACAGAAACCTGTTTTAAGACTTGTATAGACGTATACTCTAAATTTGATTGAGGCACCAGAACACAAAAAATGGCATGCAAAGAATTGTAACAGACTGCAGGATGTTTATTGGTCCTGCATCAGTCTCTGGCTCAATGATGTTACAGAGTAGAGGTTCCTCAACTTCTGCAAATTGACTTTGTTTCACTGCATCCTCAATTTACTTTTGCTTTAAAACTACAGCAACATTCAAATGAGAAAATATTAAACCCTTCTATAATGCTGCTGAACATGACAAATTGTGTTCAGCTGGGTTGAGATCTCATTGTTAGGAAAACCACAGCATATGTGTACAACATTTTCATGCATGTCAGTATTTTTAAGTGACCCCTGGTGGAGATCCAGTGATTTTATCTGGTTTTCCTATTGTATTTTATTTTATTGCCCTTATAGTTTAGTTTTGTGTTTCACTTTGTGTTGTGCTTGTCTGTCAAGTAAAAGCTGCAGAAGAGAAATGTTTCACATGGTAAAGGATAAACTAGGAAGTGCTTTACCTCTACAAAGACAAGTACACCCAAATATTGCCAGCGGTATGCCTCCCACAACATAACAGAGTCAACAGATGCCTTTAGTAGTTAAAGTTTCAGATTTTTTCTTTTATTTGTCACCCATCTGAATGGCCAGTCAGAGACTGATCCACAGAAGCAAGACATAATACGTGTGTGAATGAGAGAGATAGTATAAAATAGAGGAGTTAAAATACCTGGGGTCAATTATCCAAAGCAACAGAGTGCACAAGAGAGGTCAAGAAGAGAGTGCAGGCACGGTGAGGTGAGTGCGACGAGTTTCTGTGTTGATTTGTGACAGAAGGATAGCAGTGAGAGTGACAAGGAAGGTTTACATGATGGTAGTGAGACTTGCTATGATGTATAGACATATGGAGACAGTGGAACTACCAAAATACAGGTCAAACTAGAAGTTGAGATGTTAAGATTTTCATTGGGACTGGCCAGAAGGATGCTAGGGATACAGTTAGATGGTAGCAGATGCTCCACTGTGGCGAACCCTAAAGGGAGTAGCCAAAAGAAGCAGCAGAAGAAACGGGCTGATGTTCCCTTAAATTACACACAGTGAAATAAATATTAAAAGCAGCCACCCATAGCATCCATACTGCTATCTCACAACACACGAAGATACAAAAGTAGGCGCATCAGATACTCCCACAGCAGCAAAACACTTCAAGTCAACCATTCTAGAAGCCATTCCAAACAATCCCCATCATTTATTTACAATACATTAAAAAGTAATGCAAAATTTGTAACAAGTGGTCAATTTGTATAGTAATGAAAATAGGAACTATTCTCAAAGCTAGCATGAATCATAAACATATTTATATATAAATACTGTGTTTGTGTGTGTGCAGTCAGTGCTGGGTCAACCTTTTTACTTTCTTTTAGTGTGTGTGTGTGTGTGTGTGTGTGTGTGTGTGTGTGTGTGTGTGTGTGTGTCTTCAAACAAAACATGTTATCAGGTCAATCAGGTCAGAAAACACATTTCCACACTCGTGCAGACTGCATAGAGAAGAAAAATAAAACATTTCTTAAAAAGCACAATATGTGTAGTAGAGTCACACCTAAATCCTCCCACGAAGAACACCCACTGACTCTTTCAGCCCCTGTAATGTGAAACTTTTCTGAAGTTTAAACTGCTTCCAAACATGTCTAATGCCACTCAGCAAATACCAGACAAGACCAAAGGGTGTGATGTAGCACTTCAGTCAAAAAAATAAAATGCAGGTTGTTCTCTTTTTTTTTTTTGCTGTTCAGGAAACACCAAACTGAAAACAGAACAGGCTTGAATGACACTGAACATGATTTCACAGTATTGCTCATACGGGCTATAATGTATCCAGTTAAAGACGTTACAGTTAAATGAACCTTGGTGATGTTTTACACTCTCATTATTAAAACTCACTGAAAGACATCCAAATTAAGATTCATTTACTTCTGTGGACTGAAACATCTGGTCCATGTGTGAAATCACCAAGTGTGTTTATGTTTACGCGGGTAATTCGCTATTTGTCTGAATGAGACAACATTCCTAATTTGACAGAGGTAAAATCCATTTAGATACTTTAACTTAGCACTAGCTTTACTGAAATGGATCTCTCATTCCAATGAAGAGATGTCTACTAAGCCAACAGTCCATTTTAGAAGTATTAGTACTGTGCAAAAAAACTATATATTTTAAAGCTTCTGTTTTAGATTTCTGTTTTCAGTTGGAAGTTTAAGAGCTTTGATGGCATCAAACAGACTGTCTATAATGATTGTTAGAATGTGTCACTGCTTCCTCTCACTGTACAAAACTGAAGTAGCAGCTGTGACTGTGGGTAACATAAAGGTCCTCCCTGCTGACCAGACAAAATGTGGCCCCGCCCCTCCCTGAGCCTGGTTCTGCCAGAGGTTTCTTCCTGTTAAAAGTGAGTTTTTCCTTCCCACTGTCGCCAAAGTGTTCGCTCATAGGGGTCGTCTGATTGTTGGGGTTTCTCTGTATTATTAGAAGATCTTCACATTACAATATGAAGCGCTTTGAGGAGACTGCTGTTGTGAATTGGCGCTGTATAAATACAGTTTTATATCATTTAATTGAACAAGCCATTGAAATCCTAACTGCCTTAGACTGTTGTGGATTATAACTGCAGCTACATATTAAGTGGTTTCACTCTTAGCTTAGTGTCAAGGACCTGTTGGGAGGAGCCTCAATACCACCCTCAGGTCACTACTGCACGTGCGAACTTTTGCACTTCATATTTTGTTCCAAAACCATTGTCAGTTTTGACAGAAGAAAAAGCATAACACTAGACTTTTTCTTTTTTTGTATGCTGGCTGAGGATCAGTTTTTATAAGAACCCAACAAATGACTGTTGTCCAAAGTCTATTCCGTTTAAACAAAGGAAAACACATCAACCTCAAAACTAAAGGAAACAAGAGCGCATGTAAGCATGACACACAGGAGAAAGCCATAGAGTCTTCCTCACTAACAAAGCCTGGGAAATGCTTTGTCAAATCAAATCAAAATGGCTCAAACCATTTCACAGAAGTAAGATGAAAGTAAATGAATGTGCTCGACAGTAATCCTCTGAAAAACACATCTGTCGTACATTAGAAACGTGAGAAAAATGTTTGGGTTTCATAGTGATATAGCTCTCCTGGAAGGAAGAACTAATTTGCCAGTAAAAGGCAGAGAAAAGAGAATTCAGGCAAACAAAAAGCGAGCAGATGATAATGAAAGCGTCTTAAGTGTACCATGCAGCAGTTCATGAAGCACCCCAGCTGCAGAGAAGCCAGCTGTAGAGGAGCCCACTTAAATCAAATGGCACTTCTCCCAAACGGGAAGGAAGGAAGGAAGGAAAAAGACTGGTAATAAGAAAAGCAGTGTGCTCACATACTTGGAACAAAGGCTTTTTTGGCAATACACTGTAGTATGGCAATATATATTACTGTGGTATATTACATGTAAATCCAGAAGAGAGACAAAGAGAAAAAGGATCCATTATTATTGCAAGCTCAAGTTCTTTGGCTCAGTTGCAGCCATGATGAGTTTTATACCAGATGGCTGTTCAAGCAAAGCAACTGCTGCTTGCATGCAATGAGCACAGTCGAGCCGTAAATAATGGAGCTGCTGTTTGTGCAGTGAGGTCAGACTGATAAGTGCACGGTCAAAAACAGACCATAGTATCTGTTCAATTATGTCCTGTGAGGGTCTGCCACAGGAAGCATTGATTCTAAGTGTTTGTGTTCTCCTGCAGGGGTAGGAGTGTTTGGGTGTGTGGTTGTGTCCATATGACCACAAATGTGCTGATCTCTGCATGCAAGACAAAATGCCACAGCTGTCACAGTCTCATAAGGCTATGATGCAGTCTCGTAAGGCTTGTCCTCGCCATCTCGACCTTTCACACTGGTGTTGTATCTGTATCGAGGATAGTGTAGGGACGCCCCGCCTTCTTCTTTTTCTTCTTCTTCTTCCTCTTCATCAGATCTATCGAAAAGGTAGCGTCTTTGGCTAGGCGGGCTGGAGCAAGGAAGAACAAACAGATTTTTAAAATTATTATTTAGAAAGCGAATAGAGAACAGTATGGAGGCTGAAATCTGAGAAATGTCCTCGAATGTTTCTCAGTTATTATTTCATTTGCTCATTTGGGGCAAAAAAAGCTTGTGAATCTGATGACATTTTCTGTATTTTTGTAGAAATATGAAAACAGGCATCACGTTTTCACACAAGTGATAAAATTAGATAAATCAAATAAAACAAGTGGAACCAAATGAACTGACTTGGTTGTTTACTTGAAACAATTTTACCCCCTTTCCCCCACACACAACAAAACACGGCTGACTTATCCACCTGACTGTGGATTGGTGTAGTTTAAACTCCTAGCAGTTTCAGTGCCTTTTGCAGCCTGTTAAGCATAAACATGCCTTCTTCTAAAGTCACCAAAAGTTCACACTTTTTCCTTTCAGAATTTTGTAATACCAGATACATTTTCTCAATAAAGAGATAAAAAGGTTTGGCATGATTTCATTGTTTTAAATTAGTTCTTTATCTGCTTTTAGTACTTGAGTCAAAATCCAATAACATTTGTACAGAAAATATCAGAATTTACAAACTTTTTCTGGCAGCTGTACAAACAACATGTACACAAAACACTCTGTGGTATGCTGTGAAAAGTTCTGGTCTGATCAAAAAAGGCTAATATACTGTAAAAGACACTTTGCCACAGTTCACAGTTCAGGTCTTATATATTTCACTGATTTTTGGATGTATTATGTCCATATGGTGAGTAGATTTTCTTCATTAGCCTTCATTATTCTGACTACATGCATGTGTGTATATGTTATATTCTTCTAATCAGAGAGCTGCAGTATTTTATTCATGTCAGCTCTAGCATCTAGTGGGCACAAAAACTTGCAATCTCAAGCAATGTGGGAACATGCTATCACCCAAAACACATCATATTAATGTTGTTATTAAAGACAAGGATTTCAAAGTGACAGGTGAGATTACAATCTCAAAATGTTACAATAATATTTGTCAATGGGCTGTGAGAGATAATTTGGTCTCGGAGCATATGCTGTCTGATACTGTTTCAGGCGCCTTGAGGCATTATGAATAACACTGAACTGAATATGAAAATTTAGAGGGAGAAAAATGTGGAAAAGCAGGAGACAATGATTTATTCTAGGGTCATGATATTGTTTACCCAGCATAGTGGCTTCACACTGTCACACAGCTATACTGAATATAGGCCATTTTCTACCCATTTTGAGAATTGTTTACAGCTCAATTAGCCGAAAAAGCAAGAAAAACAAGAAACCTACTAAAAATAAACATAGAAATTTTTCATATTGATATTTAAATATTGTAAACTGCTGGAGTTAATTACAGTGAAATGTGCATCACACATAAATTTGCTAATTGACTTGTAATGTAATTTTTATTCCTTTGTAAATCAAAGGAATATCTCAGGAGTATTGAGTAGCTGAGCTAGATATCCACAAATAATACCTTCTTATCGACTGTGTCTCCTTTTATGATAACATTTCACCAAACCAGGAGGCGGTTCTGGTCTAAAGGACTCCTGCATAAAAGCAATCAATGTGAAGAGACCACCACACAGACTACTGTCACTACAGTGTACAGCACAAACTGTTAGCATCACTAATGTCACACATGAAAAAGGCAATCCCCTTATTAGAATTTAAAACTATTCAAGTCAGACTGTATGAGAAATAGTTAATGTGCTGGTTAATAGAAGTGAAAGGCCTTTGTTTGGTTAGGTGACATCATGCTTCAAACAACTCTTTCCAAGGTAAGTCTACCTACTGCTTGCATCAGTCACTCTCCGGCCGGTATAAATACTTCATCATCAGGCTGTCGACCTTCTTCTTTCTCTTCTTCTCATCCTTTTTATTAAGGGGCTGAGTCTTGCTCTGAGACCCAGCTTCTTCATCCACTTCTGGACTTGAAGCCTTTCGAGCTGGTGCCCTTTTCACACTGCTGGAACTTCGGTAGGAAATAGTGGAGGCATCAGAGCTGGATTCTGATTCTGAAGATGAGGAAGATGAGGAAGAAGACAAAGACTCATCCTTCCTTTTGGATTTTTTCTGAGATTTTTTGGATCTCCTCTTGGAGCTGCTTCTGTGACGATGGCCATCTTCTGAGCTGTCAGAGTCAGAGCTGTGGCTTCTCTTCTTTTTCTTGCTCTTTCCTTTACTACTGTGGCCATGGCGGCTACTGCGGCTACTGGCTGGTCTCATGCAGTCCGCGGCAGATGCGGAGCGTCTGAGGCTGTTGACAGGGTGAGTATCTTTTCTGTCAGCTTCATTATTGTTGAACTTTTCTTCTTCACAGTCAGAGTCTTCCAAAGTCCTGCGCTTGAATTTGATAGGTTTAAAACTCAGGACTTCATTGATGGCTTTCTCCAGGTCAGGGTCAAGGTAGTTGCGATGGCTGACTGTTTTGACATCCAAGTTATCAACTGCGTCGTTTTCAAAATTTGATCTGACTTGTGGTGGTGGCATGGAGATGCTGCGTCCAGTTGAAGAGTGTGGACTGTATGCTGACCTCTCAGTGAAGGCCACACTTCTACTATCATCAATATCAACATCAAACTCACTAAGACGGCAGCTGTAAGCCACTGAGTCTGGCCGACTAACACTTCCGGGACTACAACCTCCAAAACGTCTGCTATAGCAAGGGCTACTGGGACCACTGCTATACTGTGAACGGCTCCCTCTACCCTTGTCTAATCTTGAGGTGCTTTGATGGCGTCCAAGTGGGCTTGACAGACCTAAGCTGACGTTAGACTTGGCATCATTCTCTGGGTTTAACCCAAGAAATGTGGAGGCCCGACTTGGTGCAGTAAATGAAATGGTTGATTCTTCGTTAAAGTTGCTCCAGCGGCTGTCCAAGCCTTTTCTAGCCTGGCTGTTGGCTTCTGAATAGGCTTGGGAGATGACTGACTGTCTGTCATTCACGCCATCCAATACCTGAGACTTTCTCCTTGAGCTGGCTAAGTATGCATCATTCTGAAAATCAGAAGCTTGGGGTTTCGGTTTACGAAAGGATAGCGTATCCTCTGACTCAGCATTCTGACTGAAGAGGGCATCTCCTTTGCTACTGAGGTTGGATCGTTTTCTGTAGCTTAGGGAGCTCATCACTGAAACTGGCCTGCTTGTTTCTACCTCTCTGCCTTCTTTATTCACCTCTTTCCATTCCTTACCCTCTTTCAATTCCTTTCCTTCCTTTGCTTCTACATTTACAGCACTTCTACAAAGAAAAACAGGAAGAGACAAAAGAAATAAAGACAGTGGGAGAGAAAATGACAAAGACGAGATATTAGGCAAAAGCAAAGGTGAGTGAAAGAAGAGAATGAAATGAATGAATGAAATGTGACAAAAATCATAAAAACTGAAACGAGAGAAGAAATGCAAGTGCTGAAATTTAGCAAAATGAGATGAAAGCAAGGAAAGCAATGTAACACAATACCACTCAGGTTTGGTTCAGGGCTAATTTGTCTACCCATCTATACAGTCCTATAAAAATGTGTGACTTTTAATAATTTTTTTCACGAGCACATAAAAGTGCACTTGTATGCATTTCACTCACATAATGTGGCTGAAACTCACAGAAAAATGAACTTCACCACAGCGTAAATTCTCCCTTAAAACATAGTCCTTTCTCCCCCTTTTCCTTTCTTTTGAGCTGTTTTATAATGAGTTAAAAAACCCAAGAGGAACTCTAAAGTATCTGTACCTGTGTACTGGCAGTTAGTCACTGAACTTGAAAGTGTGTGTCCATAGGGTGAAGCTGCTGAGAGAAATTTAAAAACACCAAGTATTTAAAGTTGGGAATGACTCAGCTCAGCTCAGCTGAGGGAGGAAAGTTAAATGTGGTAAGGAGATAAATCTGGCCCAGTCAAAACCGTCAGCTCGCAGACATTAATCTCAGCAAGCGGCTCAGGTAGACTGTGCCAGCTGGCCTATGGGCATATCGATAAATCCGCCACCAAGGTCCCCTCCTTTTACTAAAGGGAAAAAAAGCCCTGCTTCACCAAGTGGATGACAATGAAGACAGAACAGTTTGCAAAATACATTTAATAGCAGTCCCTTCTTTTCAGTTAAATTCTCTGTGTTGATGGCTTTATTTCCTCAGGCCACAACATGTTAACCTTTTTAAGCAGATATGCTTAAATATGCTAAGTTCAGGAAAAACAAATGTCTTGGCAGACTGTTTCCCAACTGCTGCTGAAGAGACGGTGAGAGTTGCTACTGTAACCCACCTAAAATTTCCCTCATGAAAATGAACTGCTGTTCCCAAAGAATGCCAGTAGGTGGCATTGTGAGATTGTTTAGTGCTTGTGAACTTGAGTTGATATAGAGAATAGTGCTAACGCTACGTATGCTGGTCGGAGCTACTCACCAAGTTTTTCTTTAATCCTTGTTCAAGAAAAAGGTTATGTGTGAAGACACAAATTGGATTTTACTCTTCCGCTTGCTGGGAAACACGGACACTTTTTGTTGATGCCGGTGTACCTCTGTTTTTGTTCATTTCCGGTGACTGCGCTAGCATAGCAAGCTAATCGTTAGCTAATTATTAGCTTAGTATAATGTAAATTTCATGTGTTCCTTTTAAGTGCCGTATTATGTTTTTATTTCTTCACTTGTGAATGTTTTAAACCAATCGGAAATATTTCTTTGGAAGCTAGTAGGTAAGTTTTATTTATTGTAATGAGATGATAAATACGAGCAGTATTTGGCTAAATAGTACTGCGACCACGTTTTGCACTTTCCTCGTGCATCAGTAATGTGCTTTCTCTCAAATCATTGGATTGATGTGACTGCTGTTCACAAAATATGATTTGAGTTAAATTTGTATGATGTGGAAATTGTTTTAAGGTTCTTTGATTTATTTTTATTATTGATTGCATTAAGTCGTTATATACAAAGAGTGAGAGGCATTTGGTCACTAGTGTTGATTAAGTTGTTACATGATATTCATGTAAAATATGTTCCTGCCCTGTGCAGGTTGGTGTTTTTGTTGGAGTCTAAAGTTGCGAGCCAGGATTCCGGATCCCCAGCTGCGATGCAGGAAAGATTTCCAGCCTACTTAGAAGTGACAACTACGTTACTTCTTGACAAATAAGCTTATGAGATCTCAGAACAACACACTACCCGGGTAGTACTACTAACATTAACACTATACACACACTCACACACCTGAACTGAAAAGAACTCTGAACTCTAAAACTGAATTCACAGACTGACAAATATGGACTATTGGAACTGTTGTGAGCTGTTTTTGGTTTTGTTTTTGAATAAATGTTGACTGTTCTTTTAGCTGTGTGTCATTCGTTCCTTAGTCGATTCCTAGAGAACATAAGCCCAAGATCCTAACAAAGTATGGTGTGTTACACTACCTTTGTACTGACCTGAAGCTTTTGAGACTGCCGTCATCAGAGAGATTTTTGGTGGAACCTTTGTTCTTGGACAGCCATGACTTCACCCCTTCCACATGATCCTCCACCTCAGAATCTGTGTTTGAATCCCCTTGACTGGTGCAGGCCAGATACAGGAAAACAGGTCAGCGAAAGCAAAGGAGAGAAGAGAGCAAAGAATAGGATAAAGAGAAAAGTCAAATATTGCCATTCAGTGGGAGAATAGGGTGATGGAATATGAATGTGAAATGGCAGTTAGCACAGGTAGTAATGTTCGTGTGTGGTGTTAGTGTGGCAGCGAAGGGTGGCTGTAGCATTTATTCTAGGGGGAAAAAACACATGCATGTCAAGTCAAGGTTGCAGAGATATCAACACCTTAAGACTTCACTTATGGTTATCAAACCATGAAATCAATGCCAGAAATTTCACACGTTTTTCAGGGTTTATTGAACCTTCTGGCAGTTGTACAAAAAGGAATAGAAATTGTGTATATGAATTTTAATTTGTACTGTATTTGTTACATTTGGTATTTTTGGGGTGGCGGGGAGGTGGGGTGGATCACACTGATGATGCACAAATCACAAAAACTGTGTCTGAAATAGGATCCACCAGGCGTTAAGGGGTTAAATGAGCGCTACCAATGCTGGCAAACATTAAACTTCTCTACTTCAGTGACAAAGAAACAACATGAAAGAGCTATAATGCAAGGCACAACAGCTTTGATATATACAGTTCAACAGGGAGGGAGGGATAGCTCAGTAGATAAGCGTGGTCGCCCCATGATTGGAAGGGGCTCGAATCCACTGAATGGCTTACCCTGAGGTACCCTTGAGCAAGGTACCATCCCTACACACTGCTCCCTGGGGGCCTGATTAGTGGCTGCCCATTGCTTCACTGAGTGAATGGGTCAAATGCAGAGAGTAATTTCCCCATGGGGATAAATAAAGTATACATTATTATTATTATTATTATCATCATCATTCAAAGGAACTGGAGATCCGGTTATTTTAGCAATTTAGCATTTTGTGGGTTTTTTTGTTCTTTTTAAATTGTATAAGAAGTAAACATCTCCATCACACAGTTGTTTTGTGGGTTTTCACGTTTTGCGCATACTAGAGAGATATGGACAAAATTATTATTATTTTACTGTGTCTCCCAACACAGTTTAAAGAGCATGGAGGAAATTGCAGAAGACAGGCAGTTACTCTCGTATAACAGGCCATAAAAGGTCTTTAACCCATCAGCAGGACCGGTATAAATGGTAAATGGACCGGTTATATAAACATATTTCTACTCTGGGCACTCAAAGCGTTTTATACAGTATGCCTCACTCACATCCATCTATTCACACCTATGTACACAAGCACTATGCTTTCTATCTAACATTCACACGTTCATATTTCAGTGGATGCATCTGAGAGCAATTTGGAGTTAGTATCCTGCCTAAAGGTGTTTGGCATGGATGTGCGCTGCCAGAGACCTACAAAATGATGTCTAGTATAAATTAGAGATGGCACGATACCACTTTTTTATGTCCGATACCGATATCATAAATTTGGATATCTGCCGATACCGATATGAATCCGATATAGTGTTTTTTAATCAACAAAACTGTTTTTT